TTTTTTTCAGAATTGGGATTCTAAAAAAAAAAAATAATAATTTGGATTTTAGCCTAAGTTCATTCCTCGAACAACATCCCTTTAACAAACGAACCTCTGGTGGTTATGTGTCATGTATGGAGATACAAAAGTTTAAGATGTCAAGTTACATAACTTACCTTGAAGATCATTATTCGCACTGTGGCCAACCAAAATTGTGCCATGCCTCAACAATTTCTTCACAGATTTCTGTCAGGGGCCACATAAGTAAGCAAGAGATTGAAGACAACATGAGAAGATGAATATAAATCACCTACAACAAATAGTCAAAAAAAATACCTGGACATCTTTCAACGAATGAGTAACTTCATCTAAATCCTTCGCAGAGATTCCAGTTATATCTGTCCGATAATCAGCAATTGCTTTATTTGGGTTCACAACTTTATCAAGCTTAACCTAAGGTTAAAAGAATATCAAGTTAGAAAAGCACAAACATGAAGATGCTTGAGCATAAACATATGGCAATGCAGTACATAGTAAAGTGTCAACTTGGTACCTGTAAATTGCGGTCGACAGCGCACACCTTCACCAATGCTTCAGTGCCATCTTCACAAAGGACCATCTCACAGTCAATGGAAATCAAATGTGCAGACTTCTTGGCCTTTGACTTTTCACTGCATTTTACGACCCCCCATTCCTGTTCCGTTCAAAAGCACAACGAAGAACCACGCCAAATTCACTTACTTAGCACACATAGACACACATGTCTAGGGAAAAAACATTATATAAATCAACATCATAAAAGTTGAACTTGAAGCTACAAGTTTTTCTTCAAAACACAAGCCACGAATGAGAACGTATAAACAAAATTACGGAAGTAACAAATAAATAAAATTACCTCCTCGTGCGAGGGGAAGGAATATTCAACTGGGTACAGAGGATGTTCGAGAGTCAAACGGACTAACTCCTGCATTCACACACACACACACACACACCAAAAAAAAAAAAAAAAACAGAGTCTTCAGGAAACCATTCAATGGTGAATGAAGACTGCAAGTCACTGAGGTCCTTTGCTACAAATAAATGTCAAAGTAAGACCTGTTCAGCTGTTTCTGAATCAGGGTTTTCTTTCTTCAACTCCTCCACCAAGGCACGGTTGGAGTGACATTGAACTACTTTCTTGAAAAGCTGCAAACAACGGCACGACAAACCAACACCTTACATCTTTTGGGAACAAAAAAATAATATATATAGCAAGCCTGACTGAGATTACTTTCAAATCCTCATCTTGCTCGAAGGTTTTCAAAAATGCGACCAACGAATCAATGGACCTGCGGGACGGGTCACTCAAGCTTGATCCAAACTTCTTATCATAAAACTTCAAAAATTCTTTCCATTGACCTTTGCTCCCTGCCATCTCTCTCTTCTGCGCCAGCTTCACCATTTCAACTAACACCTAATGAAACCAATAAAACCGAAATATAAATGACCTAATGAACTTATTCTCCCAACCACAAGTGATTATTTTAAACCTAAAAAGTCGCCAAAATTGAACAAAACGCACTCGAGAACCAAACTGATAAACCTTCTGAAGACTACAAGCGGGGCAAAAAGGAACCATCTTTAAGCAAATAAACTCTACACTCATCCGAACACTGCTAAATTGCATACACAGACTAAGGCAATGGATGCATACAGACAGCATCAGCAAAAACAAATTGAAGCTTACCTCTTTTTTCGCTGTGGAGATCAAATCCTCCATTATTACCCGATAAGTGGAAGTTGGTTGGATTCTCTATCGTTAGGAGTGGCGCGCGAGAGGTTCAACGATGGAGGACAAGTTTTACAAAATGGAATTAGGGTTTATGCAGGAAACCACCTTACGGCTTTTTATTTTTATTTTTTTATTTATTTTGGCATAATTGCACCTAAAATCTTCACATTTCGTAAAATTGTAAATAAAACTAACTTTTTTTTTTTTATCTTTGCAAATAAATATCAACCATTTATCATATGCTGCATATTTGTCTCAAAACTATTTTCCGACCAATTTTGCTGACGTGTCCGATCAGAACACTAAAATCGCCTAAAAATTATTCGAAAATTGCTCCTTCTACCCAATTTTTTAGAATTTGGAGGGTGAGCTCGTATATGTATTCGGGAATGTAGGGGTGAACTCAATTTTTGAGGGTGAAGAATCGCGCCACGGAGAAAAAAAGAATCGCTGCAATTTTTTTTTTTTTTGGTCAATTGCTGGAGAAGAACTCAATTTTTATAAAGATTATGGAGTAAAAAAATGGTGATAAAATCCTATTTTTCAATTGTTACTAACTCTAATTTTAGTTAATTTGTTGCATATGATGTGGCAAAAACATCGTGAGGAGTAGGGGTGAGCAAAACCGCACCGAAACCGAAAAACGAACTGAACCGATGCGTTCGGTGTGGTTTTTAGATGTTTCGGTTTGCGTAAATTGTAAATGTTTCGGTGCGGTTCGGTTTTAAGTAGTTTTAAGTATGAACAATGCAGTTCAGTGTGATTTTTGTAAAATGAACACTTTATTTCGTAATAATTATATATATAGCAAAATAATATAATAAAACTATTTGCAATTCCCGCGATTTATGGTTACAAAATTCTATCATTAATGTCAATTTTTATTTTCCTTCCACTTTATTTATCTTGTTTTTGTAACGTTCCCAATCATATAATTTAAGCCTTTGTTTATATGTATATAAGTGACAGCAATCGATTAAATAAAACTTTATAATTTTTACCTCATAAATTATACTTACGTGAAACCTAACTTTCCAAAGCTTATTCTGTTAATTAAGGCCAAAATCGTTACATTTTATATTAATTGATTGTATCATATAATAGTTATTATTTGAATTAATAATTATATTTTACACTAAATGATATGTTAAAGTTACATAAACATAAAACATTATATTGTAAAACTTTTTGTTCAAGTTATTTATTCTAAAATCAGTATTATATTTTTTTATCTAATTAAGTGATTTTTTAAATAAATTAATTTATTTTAATTTTATATAAAAATTCCTTAAAATCGCATAAGCAATTGTTATAATAAATTTAATATTCTTCAGTGAATTTATTCATCTCTCCAAATTACAACTATTATATTATTCATCATATTTTATGCAATCAATATAGTGATTCATATGCAATTAAATAGGTACGTACTATTTATATATTCAATGATCAAATTTTATAACATAATACCATTATCTAACTTATAATTTTGTTATTATATGCATAAATAAAACTTATTATACTATGTTTAAAATTTAACCGCAATATCTGACTTATAATTTTAATATTATATGCATATAAATAATTTATAATACTTTATTTATCTGCGCAAATGCACAGGTGGAATACTAGTTTTTTATAAACCGAAGGATTGTGACCAATTAATTAGCCAAACAACTATTAAAACTATTATTATAGCAATTTTTATGTAATTTTAAGGAACTTGACTATATCATTAAAACCTAGTAACTCATCTTATCTTAAAAAGATAAATCACTCAACGAGATGTGAAAACAAAGATGATATTAATTTTTTGAAGAAAAAAATACAATATTTGCTTTCAAATACTTAGGTAACTTGCATATATAATATTTATATTTATTTACAAAATTTATCATTATTATTTATTTACTTCTCACATTAACACATCATATTAAGTGCATCATGTATGTTTCTATTATATTATATAATAGTTATTGCTAATATCAACTAATAATAATTCACAATAATTATAAATAATTGTTTCAAGTTATTTATATTAGCATCAATATTATTTTTTTCTTTTTGTATCTCATGAACAAATTTCTTTAAAAATAATTAGTAAATTGTTTTAATAACATAGTCAAACAACTTTAGAAGCTTATAAACAATTGTTTTAATAATAATAATAATCAAACTGTTATTATCTAATGATAATAAACAATTGTTCATAATAATAAATTCGTTAATTTATTTTTCCTAATGATCAAATTTTTGAAACTGTAAAATGTTCATTATCTAGAATTTAAATATTAAATTCTTAAATATTACTTACTAATATTTTATGTACATCTGTGCATGTGTACATGATATCCACTAGTTTGTATCTAATAACCGGCAATAAATCTTACTCCATCTTTTACCGTCTATCTCATAAAGACAATGCAAAATGAATTAGCCTTACACTCAATTTCCCATTCGAAAGATTCATTTCACTAAAACAAATACTGAAAAAAGAAAAGCAACAAGACTCATTTCGTTTGAAGGTTTTCGATGTTTTCCAAAACAATAAATTTTTTCCGTGCAAGCCCAGAAATACATTACATAATTAGAAGACAATCCCAGAAATAGATTACATAATCTATACTTATATTAAAAGTCATACTATTTACCAAAAATAGTAGCAAGAAAAGTCAACTCACATTTAATGCATATTTTATTTAGAAACTTTTTACTATATGCATTAATTGCTTGCATTTATACATTTCCTATTCAAATATGATTAAAAAAATTCTTTCCTTAAATAATTTTATTAACTTCTTTAATGATTTTACTGATATATATTATAATTCATATTTGTCGATAGTATTTTTTAATTTTTATTTGAGTATATAAAAAACAAAAAAAAAAATTAAATTAATATTTTATTTATCATTTAAGAGATAATGATCACATTATTAAATGATATTACTGATGGTTAGATAATAAATTAAAATACATTAATTATTCTTTAAAATTTTGGCATGTTATTTATTTGTATCTATACTTATTATATAAGGTATCCTATTTACCCAATTTAGTAGATTGAAAAGTCAACGTAATTAATGCATTGCTATTTCTATCCAAAATATTATTTAATTATTTTATTTATTTGTCTTATATCCATAAAATCAGTTTAAGAAAAAAAAAATCCCATAACATCTGACAAGTAAAAAAAAAAAAGACGTAAAATTTTTACTAAAATAAAAAGACTATTTATTTGTCTTATTCCATATTAACATTGATTTTGTTCAAATAAATCTCATAAAATCAGTGAAGTCAAAATTTGTACGTAAAGTTTATCTATCCAAAAAAAAAAAAGTCAAATTCAAAATTTCTTATCTAATTCCTTCTTTTCCTTATCTATTTTTTTCATTATCTAATTGTATGAAAATCTGTTCTGATTTTGTTCAATCCTCTAATTGTATTTGTATTATATTCCATAAAATCGATTTAACAAAAAAAATCTCATAACATCCGATAAGTAAAAAAACAAAGTACGTAAAATCTTTACTAAAATAAAAAGGCTTTATTTATTATCTAATTTATTATCTAATTGTATGGAAATCTGTTCTGATTTTATGGTACGTACTACAAATTGTGCACCCGTGTTCAGGAGCTACCTTAACGGACAAGCTCTGTGGAAATGACTCATTTAGTGCTCCTGTCTCGTGCATACGATATGTATTTTTATTACACATACTAGAAAATTGTGCACCCCGTGCATCGCACGGGCTCTGTACTAATAAATGACCTTAAAATTGTGCACCCCGTGCATCACCCGTGTTCACATTTTGGCCTATTACAGGTCACGTACTATATATATCCCGTACGTTTTTTTTATTCATTTCTATAATTATAAGAATGGATAAATGACCTTAAAATTGTGCATCCCGTGCATCGCACGAGCTCTGTACTAGTTAGAAGAATAATATAATACTAATGATGGGGAAAATCATAAATTAAACACCCACAGCCAAGCCAAAGCCAAGCCAAGGCAAGCCAACTCCATCTGAGACATCTTGTGTAGCCCTAATACGGCGGAGGATTTGTGTATTGCCGCGATTTTGGGGCGACTGCACGCACAACAATAAGAAATAATAACAAGAAACATTAGAGACAAGACTGCTGCAATTCCGAACGTTGATCAAATGTTTATTCGATTAAACATCGTAAGGCAAAATCAAAGACACAATATTTGGGAATTATTTTTTCATGCACTTACAGAGGTTTGTAGCCTGTTTATTAATCCATCTTTGCAGTCTTTTATCAATCCAGTAGGCGACTAAAATGCACAAGGCTCCCCTTCACAAATCAAAGAAAACAGAAAAACAGGTAATCAAGACTATACATGCTTCCACCCACACATCGATCTAATTGTAGGGATATGACCATGTTAAATCAACATATTATCGAGTCCAAGCACTTTGGTCATATTCTATTCACAACCTCACAGCAAGCAATAATAGACACGTAAAAGAAGCATCATAATGAGTCTATCTAAGCATCCACAATGACCAATTTGTAGAAACTACTCGTGAAGTCATGTGAATAGATAGAGAGAAACCAACCTCATTATATCCACGTCCTCTTTGCCCGAGAGACATGCACCCAACAAGGGATCTCGTTTAATAAGAGCCACCCTATTAGCAACCGTTATGTCCTCCAGCACATTCTCTGCCACCACGTCTACAGCCCCGTAAAGAGCGTAACCATAAGCAAAAATTTTCACCAAACCTTGGCGAACGTGTTGGTTTTTCAACAGCTCCATCGCCTTTTGAGCATGCTTGTTTTCATCAAGGTCAAGGGCATCCAGAAGTTCTTTTGCTGATGGGATGAGTTCGGGATGTTCTTCTACGAGGAGCTGGGCCATAGGAGAGAGCTCCTCATGCGTCTTCTCTTGCAGTATATACATATAGTGGCACAACCGTAGAATTAAGAAATCGACGATAACTACTAATAAACGATGT